AAACATTTAGAAAGTCACAGGGGTAGAAGTGAGCCATGGTAGAAGTGAGCCAGCTGGGCTGCGTGGACCCAGGAAAGCAAGTTACAGAGGCAAAAGAAGGGCCCTTGGAGCTCAGGAGAAAGCAAAGGTATGCACCTTGAGGGAAGAAAGGGGGAGGAAAGGCTTGGGCGTGCAAGAGAGAGACAGAGAGAGATAGAGAGATAGAGAGATAGAGAGATAGAGAGATAGAGAGATAGAGAGATAGATAGATAGAGAGATAGAGAGATAGAGAGANGTTCTTCATCTTTAGGGGTTTTATCTGCCTCTCTAAAGGTGGGAATCTTAGGGGAGGTCTCAGGGAAGGATCTCAGTAGAACATTCATCGGCTTTTCCAGGGTGTCTCCTCAGGATATTGGTCTCTATGGATTGGTCAGAACTAAGGTAGGGGGTCACTGGCCACTGCACCTGGTCCACAGGCCAGCCAAGGCCATGGGTTACCCTTCCTGGCCTTGCTGCATTTCTGGGTTTGGGGCTGAAACACAACTGAGGCCTAGATGTTTTCTCAAGTTTGACTAAAACTCTGTCTCTGTGGTCAGCAGAGACCTGAGGCTTTGTTCCTAAGATTATTTGATGTGGATCAAGACCTCATTGTCCTGAGGGCTTAATGCTTAAGGGAGTGGTCCTGCAAAGGGGTTGTATGAGGCTATTCTCGGGTCCCCTCCTTCCTCCTCTAAGGGGGTCTACCACATACCAGGGGAGGAAAGGTCAGGGGAGGGTCCGAACTGCATGAACAGCAATATGAAAAAACGGGGTCTAAACCACATGACCAGGGATACGCTAGGGCAAGAAAGGCCACCCTGGGGGTGAGGTCCCACCCTGCAATAATTGTGTTCCCCGTTTTACCTCTTGCTAGGTACCTGGGGCTTTCTGCCCTGGGGACCTTCTGTACCTGGCCTGTCGTTCCAACTCTGCTCATGTCTGTCTAACTGCCCAACTGCCCACTATATCATAAGCACAGATCTAGTTTCTATTCTTTGGTTTTACCTTTCCCAGAATGTCATAAGAACAGAATCATAAAGTAAGTAGCCTTTTGAAGACTAGTGTTTTAAAATAATCATCACATCAGCAGCAGCATCTCCCCCAATCAACAAAAATTCCCCAATATCATCAAATAGTCAGTGTTTACATTTCCATAATTGTCCGGAAAATTATTTGTTGACACTTATTTAAAAGCTAAACAAAGTCTCCACATTGCAATTGGCTGCTTGCTCTATAGAGAATGTATAGGTTTCCCCCCTGTTTTTTGTTTTAAGAAATTGAGTTCTAGAGGGGATAAACAAGCTGGCGGCGTAGGTAGCAACTGCACCAGCCACCTCCCCCAACCACATCAAAATTACAACTAAAATACAGAACCACCGTCACTCAGAGCCTCCTGAGATCTGGCTGAACAGAAGCCCCACAACCAGGGAACTGAAGGAGCATCAAGAGCGGTAGGAGGGGCAGACACGCGGGCGGACCGGAGCTGAATTGCAGAGACTCGGCCCACACCTGGTGCCGAGGTTTAAACGCGGGAGGGAATCTCAGTGGCGGAGTTTTCCCCGAGGAGGGAGGGCGTCCCAGCCCCACAGCAGGCCCCCAGCCCAGGAAGAGACGTCCCCGCAACTCTGGGCTGTGAAACCAGTGGGGACTGTCCCTGAGGGTCGCGGAGGCTGCGGGAGCCCCAGCAGCTCCTCTAAAGGGCCCGCACANGGGAGGGAATCTCAGTAGCGGAGGTTTCCCGGAGGAGGGAGGAGGGAGGGGTCCCAGCCCCACAGCAGGCCCCCAGCCCAGGGCTCCAGGGCCGGGAAGAGACGTCCCCACAACTCCGGGCTGTGAAACCAGCGGGGACTGTCCCTGAGGGTCGCGGAGGCTGCGGGAGCCCCAGCAGCTCCTCTAAAGGGCCCGCACATGGACTCACTCGGACGCTCCCTCTGAGCCCAGCGCGGAGCAGCAGCCTGAAGGGACCTGGGACACTCGGGGAGGAACTAACCTGCCTGAAGTCCGGGCGAGAGGTGGAGGGGCNCCGGGACACACGGGGAGGAACTAACCTGCCTGAAGTCCGGGTGAGAGGCGGAGGGGCAGCTTCCTCCCTGGCAGATGGGCTGGTGGAAGCCGTTGCCCCTTTGGCGAGTCCGCCCCGCACACAGCCAGTGGGCAGGCGCCATATTTGAGTCGCCAGCACCTGACTCGCACCTTTGG